TATGTGGTACCAAAAGGTTGCTTTCTATTCTATTTTACTCGAGTATGTGAAAGACCTTGTTATACCTTGTTGGCCTTTTAATTCCCTTCAATTTATTTCTATTGTCTTAGTGGCGGAGCTAGGAAATTAGTATTAGGGGGGGCTAAGTTTGAAAGTTTTGTTTTGAGGACAAAGGTTCATATTTTAACATATTCTTATATAGATTATAAGTAGTGTACACACCCACACACACTCAAAACCAGAGGCCTAGGCCTCCTCCAACTCCTACCTAGCTCCACCGCTATAGTTGCCTTCACTCATGTTTGTGTGTGGAACAAGTATCTTTTTTTGGTTCCTTTTTCATGGAAGCTTGTCAATATCTGAATTTGAAGTGAGGGTCATCAAAGATGCTTTGCCGTGTAAACAGCACTTTTACTTATTTCTGTTTATCCCCTTTTAGGCACGTCAAGTATAACATAATAAGTTGTCTTTGCAAAGTATATATACTAATATAAACACAATAAAAGACCAGGAAACCCTTACATTTTATCTTTCTTTTCTGTTCCATCAGTTGCTCTTTTACTTTGATGTTTTACTAGTATCATTTGTCATCATCTCATGGTATTGCTGGTATTGGGGCGGGGGGCATTCTGGTACAAATTTGGGTATCTGAATGGAATGGATTTTGGTTTACGGACATTTTTCTTTCCCAACCACGCCCATATCAAAATAATCTCTAAATATTTTTCGAATCAACATAATAAGTTCTATTAGACAGAAACATCTACTTGCAATTTCTATGAGAAAAAAACCAAGGAAACTTGGCAAGGAAAAGACAACTTGGGTTGACAAATGAATTTTAAACAACATAAATTGGAGGATGAGATGAATGGCGTGAATTAGGGGAGTGGAGCTGGTCGTACGAATAGAGGGAATTATTTTGAATCAAGTGATATTTGGAAACCGGAATCACACATGGGGGTTGGGACTTGGGGGGGTCACTATCATCTGTTCCTGTAGCTGCATTTTTAACACTTCTCAAGATAAAAAAAGTGCGTTAATAATTTTGTTATCTGATACTGAAAGCGGGTCCAAACTTTTCTTCTTCTAAATCAGTAAATTGGGTATAAAATGCTATTTTTTGGTTTTATTTTGCAGTAGTATATCCAACTTCAGTCTACCCTACTGTGCAGCCAACAGTTCCTGAGAGTGACCCCAATAACACTACTGTAAGATGCAATTTTTATACGTTGGTGTCTTTCATGCTTTTTCATTTCATCATTCATTAATATGAAGAATATCAATTCTTTGTCCTACTGTTTGCAGATTTTTGTTGGCAATATTGACCCTAATGTTACAGAGGAAGAACTACGACAAACCTTCTTGCACCTTGGGGAAATTATATATGTCAAAATCGTTGCTTCTAAAGCATGTGCGTTCATACAATTTGCTGCAAGGTCGGTCTGTTCTTATCATGCATGCTGTTGAAACTTTTATTTTGGTTCACTTGAGTAGTGTTAGTTTTCCATCATAATTCTTTAACCAGTATACAGTAGTTTTCACATATGTAAAACTTACGGATATAGGGCATCTGCTGAAGAGGCAATTCAGAGGATGACTGGTACTATGATTGGTCAACAAATAGTTCGTGTTTATTGGGGTAGGACACCAACTGCTAAACAGGTGACTAGTCTGTTGACTATTTGAGATTTAAAGTGAAATGTTCCACTTTTGATCCCACAACTATTAGTTAGCTTACATTTTTGGCCCTTTATATTCATTTATTCCACTTTTGACGCATATGAATTTTTCTGCTACTTTTAGTCCTTCCAATCACTTCTAGGCCAATTTTCCGGTTACTTTTTTGCTGCACAAGTTATCAGGACTGTAATTGGAGTTGAAAAAGTAAAAGCTCTAGGGGCCAGAAAAAGAGTTCTTCCCCCCTCTTTCTAAATTTTGACAATTTGATTACCTATCTTCAGGACGCTGGTCAATGGGGTCAGGTAGCTGATGCAAGCCAATGGAATGCTTATTATGGTTATGGACAGGGATATGATCCATATGCTTATGCAGCCACGCAAGATCCTTCCATGTATGCATATGGTGCTTATCCTGGTTACAGCCAATACCCACAACCGGTAATATATTTCACACTTGGTGTGCATATTTTGCTCCTGCTATTGGAGTGCGCTTCTAGAACCGGATTAGGAGCATCTGATGCAATATTTAGATTGTTTGGCATCAATTTTGCCATGATTGAGTGATTTGAGTCAAACCATATTGACAGAACCCATTATAGTCATAAATGGCCAGAAATGAAAATCAAACCCAACTTCCAAGACCCTTGTGGGGGATAAATATTGGACTTCTTAGACTAAGATGGTTTTTTATTTTTTGATAAATCAAGAGAAGTGAAGACACAGATTTAAATAAGACCAAAGTAGAAGCATTCAGCTTGATCACATCTCTTTAAACAATAATGAATTTAAGAGTCTGGCACTGTGGGGGTATCAGTATTCCTATTCTTAGAACCCTAAAATCAGGGGAAGAAATGGGGTGATAGCTCATAAACTTGATATTATATTTCTGATGTAGGGTGAAGGTGCTCAAGATATGGCAATAACTACTCCAGCTGTGGACCAAAGGGAGGAAAGACATGATCCGTTGGCAGCACCCGATGTTGACAGGTAAGCTCATCCTTCCACATTTTCTATAATTAGTTGCACCATTTGCACGCCTTGCTGCATGCATGTATGACGAATTTATTTTTCGGATCTTTTAATGAAAATGGCTAAAGTTACGACTTAAGTTGTCAAAAGGAAGCAAAAGTATATACTTCACATTAAAATGGATGCATTTCTGTTTTGATAGGTTAAATGCTTCTTACCTTGCTGTCCATGCAAGGGCCATCTTAGGCAGGCCTATGTGGCAAAAGACATAATCCCCATTTCAGACGAAGCATAGAAATCATTCCTCCCCAGAGATGAGAGATCCTATCCTACGGTTTCATTAATTTTTGTGATGACATTCTAAAAGGGTATAAGAAACCTAGTATAGTATGTTACATGCTACTCATAGGTTCTGTAATGAAATGCTATGATTTGAATGCTTACATGATTTCAAATGTACTTACTGGCTTTTCCTTATTGATTTGGCAGGCCTTTTATTTATTAAACAGCCCTTATTATTGATTTAGCTTTTAGTGCCTATGGTTTAATCAGGGTTATTTGGGGGGGGGGGGGGGGTATGTTGGTCCATAAAAACATAATTATTGCTATTTGATCAGGCACTAAACAAGGCAATCACTATTAAACATATACTCCGATTACTCCCTATTAAACTCCGTAATATGTTAGAAGTACATCCAATTGAAAAAAATCAATACTTTCAATTACTATTATGTCAACTTATTAAAAATTTTACTCTCACCAAGCAAGGTTCTGATTGGCATGATTGTTTTGGTTTAGTGGAAATTCGTTATTAATTGCTTAATGTGTTTTTGGTCCTTGAGTTTTCATTTTAGTTAGAGATAAACTCATAAACCATGTTAAAAACTTCCCGAGATACATGTGTTGACACTAGGCTTGGACCCGGTTCGGGCCGCCCGGCCCGGGACCGGCCCGGCCTGTTATTGTGCGGGCCCGGAACCGGCCTGGTTTTCGGGTCCGGGTCCGGTTCAGGCACTGAACCGGTGGGGGTGGCGGGTCCGGGCTCGGGGCTTGTTTTTGGCGGCCCGAGCCTAACGGTCAACTTAATTTTTTTTTTTCATTTAATTAAAAAACCCCTTTTGGGCTCTTGACCCACTTCCCAAACGGCTATATAGCCGTTGAGTGGGTACCAGGGGGGGTCTGGGGCCTTTGGGGGTGGGGTGGGGGTTAAAAAAATCTATAAATACTCCTAATTTTAAACATTTTTTCACACCTCTTCTCCAACTCTTCCTAAATCCTACTCTCTACTCATCTCCATATTCATCTTCTCAAATTCTCTTATTCTCCATTATATTTTATTTTACTATTTAATACTTATATAATTATTATATCTACTTATATATTAATAATCTACTTATAAATAATAGATAGAAATATCGGGACATATTTGTAATTCTCTTATTTTATCTGTTTAGTATAAATATACCATCAGGGCTCCCTTTTAGGGCAAGCCATTATTCATAATATTTCATATGGTATCAGTCGCTAGGTTTTCTACGTCTTCCGCATAATGTCGCAGGACACTTCTGCATCAGGAATGACTGCCCCAGCCGGGTCTTCTCCTTCCATGCCGGCTTGTTCTTCATCCACGGTCAGTTCCCACAGCACCACGGCGCCCTTTCTCTCTCAGGCGCAGCCGTCTTCTCCGCTAGATATCTCCTCCCCGCTTGGTCCTCGTTTTGGCTCCATTGCAGATCCTCCTGTCATGCCATCGCTGGACTCCTATCGTATGTTTGGCATGCCTACTCCCTTTACATGGTCCTCCACCACAACCATGCCGTCCATGATGTCCCTGCCGCTTTTCAATGCACCAATAGGTCCTCCTCCCTTGCTGACCGGGTCTGCCTCCTCATCGCAGGTCTTTCCTATGTCCTCAGGCCGTCCAGTCTCCTCACCGGCCATGTTTACAGCATCTGCAACGTCTGGTCAGCCGACCACTTCAGCACTTCAGCCTGGTCAGACGTCATCACCGGTTATGTTCACCGGTACGACCTTCTCTGGACAGCCAGGTACTTCTTTTCTACCGCAGCATCAGTCTCTTCTTCAGCCAGGCTCTTCTTCTTTTTTGGGTGCTCTGGCTTCTCAACTGTCTTTCTCAACTCCTAATGTGACAAATATTGTCACCACTCGTTTAAAGGCAGTTGAGGACTACCTCCCGTGGCGTACTCAATTCGAATCTTTTCTAGTTTCCCATGGTCTTCTTGGGGTTCTAGATGGATCCGTTTTGACTCCACCACAATTTATTCCCGATATGCATCAACGGGAGGTACCCAATCCCGAGTATCATTACTGGCTTAAGATTGACCAAACGGTCCGGTCATGGCTATTTGCTACATTATCCCGGGACATTCTCATGGAGGTATATGATTTAAAATTTTCGGCACGCATTTGGGAGTCTCTTGAAACACGATTTATGTCTGCTTGTTTGGCTCGGTCTATTGAGCTTAAACGCCAGTTATCTCATATTAAGAAGAAGGAGTCCCAAACGATTGACCAATATTTATTGGAAGTTAAACTGCTGGCCGATAATCTAAATTCTATTAATTCACCCGTAAGCAACCGTGATGTCATTGAATATACCATTAATGGTTTGGGGCCAGATTATGAGTCTTTAATCAGTATTATTTCCTACATTCCGGGTAATGCCACTATTGAATCCCTGCGGCCTGTTCTTCTTGCCCAAGAGCAAAGGAATCAGTTTCTACGTTCTCAAGACCCAGCTCCAGCCCATCAGGCCTTTGCGGCTGCTCCAGCAGTCCCAGCGGGTCAGAATCGCGGGGGTGCAGCACCTGCTGCTCGTGGGCAGGGAGGCCGAGCTCCAGCAGGGCGTGGTTATCGCGGTGGCCGTGGCCGCGGGCAGCGTGGCAGGGGCCGCGGGTATGGTGTTCAGTTTCAACAACAGCAACCAGCATATGGGCATCAGCAGGCTCCTCTTCTGCCGTTACCAAACATTGGTCAGTACGGACCTCTTCGGGGACAGGCTCCAGCTGGTAATCCAGGTTCGGTGTTATGTAATCTTAAGTCTGGTTATTCGTACTTAAATCACATCTATACTTGTGGTACTAATAATGTCAGTGCAGGTTTTCCATCTGGGGATAATAGTCATTTTCCACAACCTCCAGTTATCTGCCAAATATGTTTCTCACCAGGTCATTCTACACTCACATGTCCCCGATTTGTTGGTTCATCTGCACCGGCCCTCGCTGCTCTTCCTTCTGGTGAATCAAATTCAGTCGTGTGGTACCCAGATTCTGGGGCGTCAGCTCACATGACCCCTCATGAAGGTATTTTAACTTGTAAAACCCCTTATACTGGCTCTAATTCGGTGCAAGTTGCTAATGGTACTAAATTACCCATCTCTCATATTGGTAGTGTTAATCTTGTCACTCCTGGTCGCTCACTTACTTTAAACTCCGTTTATCATGTTCCGCACTTAAAATATAATTTATTATCTATTCATAAGTTGTGTGCGGATAATGATTGTACGGTGATTTTTAATAAAAATTCTTTTTCTATAAAGGACAATCAGACGGGGGCGCATCTTCTTCAGGCTTCCAATAAAGACCATCTCTACCCATTCCATGCCTTTCGAGCCACTCTCACTCCTGGACCTACTTGGCACAAACGTTTGGGACACTGTGGTGATAAAGTTTTACAATGTCTTCGGCAAAATAATTTTATTTCTATTTCTAGTAATTTTAGTCACAATTGTGTTTCTTGTAAGTTGGGTAAATCCCACAGACTTCCGTTTCATGATGTTGTTCACTCTTGCACTGCACCTTTGCAACTTATTCATTCAGATGTTTGGCAATCGCCAGTTCTTTCAAATCTAGGTTTTAAATATTATGTTTGTTTTATTGATGATTTTTCACGCTACACTTGGATTTATCCTATGCGTCGTAAGTCTGAGGTTTTTATTCACTTCTGTAATTTTCAAGTTCTTGTTGAAAATCTTTTTGATAGGAAGATCAAAGTTTTTCAGAGTGATGGTGGTGGCGAGTTTGATAATGCTGTCTTCAATAATCGTTTTTTGAAATCTGGAATTTTATTTCGAAAATCTTGTCCCGATACTCCAGCCCAAAATGGAGTTGCTGAACGTAAGCATAGGCATTTACTGGAGTTAACTAGGACCATGTTAATAGAGGCGTCTATACCGCCTACTTTTTGGGTTGATGCGCTATATACCGCCACTTACATTATTAATCGTCTACCAACACCACTCTTGAATAATAAAACTCCTTTTGAAAAGCTTTTTAACAAACCTCCAGATTTTGATTTCTTACGTGTTTTTGGATGTGCATGTTTTCCTAACTTTATTGCCAAGGCAGCAAACAAACTTTCACCTCGTTCCACTCGTTGTGTTTTTATTGGGTATGCTCCGGGTTATAAGGGTTATCGCTGCTTAGATCCTACATCGGGGCGGGTATATACTAGTCGGGATGTTTTATTTCATGAAAATGATTTTCCCTTTTCCCACCTTGTCTCACGTCGCGACATCTCTACTTCTCCGGTTACAGACCTACCTTTTTCTTGGCCTTCTACCTTTACACGTCCAGGCCCTGCACTACCATTACCTTCGGTTACTCCCTCCTCCGACCACACTGCCTCCTCCCTTCCTAGCAGTGAATCTATACCCAGCCACGCCTCTTATCTCCCCAACAGCCAACCCCATCTTGCCCCCAGTCCATTAGATATAACTCCCCTTACTGCCTCTACTCCGGATACATCTTCAGCAACTCCCTCCCGCTCCATCTCTCCATCTTTCTCCCACTCTTCTGTTCCGGCCAGTCCCATATTGCCTACCACTTCACCAAATCATTCCTCGCCTATCCCTGTTCCTTCATCTAGCCTCTCCATTCCTCCTCCCGTTGTTAATATTCATCCTATGCGTACACGCGCAAAAGATGGCATTTTTAAACCAAAACAAATTTTTAACTTAAGTGCTTTTTCGCCCCCGGATGATCCAACATGTTTTTCACAAGCTCAAAAATTTCCTGTTTGGCGGGCGGCCATGGCTGATGAATTTAATGCATTAATTGATAATCAGACATGGGATTTAGTACCTTGAGATGGCACGAAAAATGTAGTTGGGTGTAAGTGGGTCTACAAGACTAAATTTAATTCAGATGGGTCTGTTGAGCGCCACAAAGCACGTTTGGTTGCCCAGGGATTTAAGCAACAGGCTGGTGTAGATTTTACTGAAACATTTAGTCCTGTTGTTAAACCCACTACTGTGCGTCTTGTCTTATCTATCGCTGTTGCTTGTAATTGGTCTATTCGTCAATTAGATGTGAAGAATGCCTTTCTCCATGGTAATCTTACAGAGGAGGTCTTTATGCGTCAGCCTCCGGGATTTATTCACCCTTCTTTTCCTCATCATGTCTGTCGTCTTAAAAAGGCGCTTTATGGTCTTAAACAGGCTCCAAGAGCTTGGTTTCACAGGTTTAGTGGTTTCTTGCTATCCCGGGGATTTTTGCAAAGCAAGTCTGACTCCTCTATGTTTGTTTACCGCGCTCAGTCACAGGTTGTATACATTCTTCTTTATGTTGATGATATTTTAATTACTGGGTCTTCTGTTGATCTTGTTCAGTCCATTATTCAGTCTCTTTCTACTCAGTTTGCCATGAAGGACTTAGGGGACATTCATTTTTTTCTTGGTCTTCAGACTACCCGTACATCTCAAGGGTTGTTTATTTCTCAGCATAAATATATCTCTGATTTGTTACGGCGTTTTCATCTCCATACTGTCAAACCTGTTCGTACTCCATTGCCCTCTCGGACTACTCTTTCTCTTACAGATGGAGAACTTCTCACTGATGCTACCGAGTATCGCAGTATGGTAGGTGCTCTTCAGTACTTGATTTTAACTAGACCTGATATTACTTATGCCGTACACTTGGTTTCCCAGTTCATGCATGCCCCTCGTACCACTCACCTTTTGGCTGTGAAGCGTATTTACAGATATTTGCAGGGTCCTAAAGATTATGGGTTGTGGCTCCAGTCCCATCGGGATATTTCTCTTCTTGTTGCTTATTCAGATGCTGATTGGGCTGGTTGCCCGGATAGCAGTCGATCTACCACAGGCTATGCTATTTTCTTGGGTCCAAATTTGATTTCATGGCGGTCAAAGAAACAACCCACTGTCTCCAAGTCCTCTACTGAAGCAGAGTACAGAGCCATAGCTTATACAGTCCAGGATACTCTGTTTATTCGTTCCCTGATGGCCGAGATGGGTCTCCATATTTCCTCTCCTGTTCAGCTTCATTGTGACAACGTCTCTGCATCTTATCTGGCTGTGAATCCTATTCAACATGATCGCAGCAAGCACATAAAGATTGACTATCACTTTGTTCGTGAACGTGTTGCTCATGGAGATCTTGTTGTCAAATATGTTCCCACTCAGTTACAATTAGCTGATATTTTTACTAAAAACTTATCTAGTCAGCGTTTTGAGTTTTTGCGTTCCAATCTGCGCGTTGTTTCCCCTGCACAGATTGCGGGGGTGTAATAGATAGAAATATCGGGACATATTTGTAATTCTCTTATTTTATCTGTTTAGTATAAATATACCATCAGGGCTCCCTTTTAGGGCAAGCCATTATTCATAATATTTCATAATAAATACATATACTATATTACTTATATTTTTTATCTACTTAATCTCTACTTATATCTCTTAATACATACATACATACTACATCTACTTAATATATACTTTATATATTAAAGTATTAAATATACTTTATAAACTATTAGTATATACTTAATACATAATAATATCTACTTCTCTACTTATATTTCATATATACTTATTTTCTTATTCTCCAATCTCCAATTCTCCATTATACTCTAATATTTAATTCTTGTACAATTATTTTATCCACTTAATACATACATTTTACATCTACTTAATATATAGTTTATATATTAAAGTATAAAATATAAGTGTATTACTCATCTTATAGTAGTATACTTATATATTATATACTATAAACACGAGTCCCGATCCTGTCAGGCCGGCCTGACGGAAACCGCCGTCCGGACGAGGCCATCAGAGGCCCTTCCTGGTGGAATTTTTCGATGAAATGTTTTGAGCATGTTCCTCATCAAGTCTAGTTTATCCATACCAAATTTCAGCTAAAAATTCAATCGGGAAGGCAGTCAAAAACATTCCCCATGAAAACTGCGTTGTTTTTATATATAATGCATAGTTTTCGTAGGGAATTTTTTTGACTGCCTTCCCGATTGAACTTTTAGCTGAAATTTGGTATGGATAAACTAGGCTTGATGAGGAACATGCTCAAAATATTTCATCAAAAAATTCCACCGGGAACGGCCCCAAATGGCCTCGGCCTGACGGCGGTTCCCGTCAGGCCAGCCTGATACGATCTACCCTCATATAAACATTATATTATATATTAGTTACACTTTAATTAATATCACTTAGAATAATTCTATTACCCATTTACTCCCATTAATTACTATACACATTCATACATTTGTCTTATTAGTTACATTTTTAATTAACATTACTTGATTAGTTAATTAGTATTCCCACTAATTGTTACATTTTTTAAAATTGTAAACTTGTACTTCATATTTCAAAATTGTAAATTTGTAGTTGTACTTCAAATTAATTTGTAAACTTGTACTTCATATTTCAAATAATATGCGTTCATTTTTTCATATGTAGCACTTCTCAAATTAATTAATTGGTTACAAACTTACGACTTAAAATTATTTTTCTAAAATCTAAAGGCGGTTTTTAAATTAAAAATACATTTACAATATGTAATTTGTTTAAATACTTATACACCTATTTTGTAACATTTGTAAATTATAAATCAAACCACTTTTCTAAGTACAAATAGCTTTACTTAATTAATTAAATTAATTAACTTATTTTACAATATGTATAACTTTAAAAAAAAGATTTAAATTTTATATAAAAAACAACCTCCCAAACGGCTGTATAGCCGTTGGGGCTTTGGGTGGGGGGCAGGGGGGTCCCAGGGGTGGTGGTGTGGGGAGTGGGGTTCAAAAACATCTATAAATACATCTATTTTCTAACATTTTTCTACACCTCTTCTCCATCTTCATCTTCTCTTATTATCCTACATTCCTACTTATACATATACCATTTTAAAGATGGAAAGTACATCTTCCCTTATGCAAAACAATTTTAAACAATTTTGATAAGTGGAAGGACCCGAAGACCGGACTGTGGTGGGCAACTTGCAAGTGGTGCAAGAAAGAGTGTAGCTTGGGGCATTCACACGGATACGGGATGCCAATAAAACATATGAACCATTTCAATAAAACAACCACCAACGGTGGCGGAAATTCCAATTGATATTTATTAGAAAATGTATTTCGTATTGTTATTTTTTCTCAATTCTCAAATGTAGTTCCTATTTCAAATAAATGCACTTGAACTTTGTTTTTAATAGGAATTTGTATAATCTATAATAGTTTTAAAAAAAAATTGAACCGGCCCGGGTCCATCACTAGTTGACACTTGAAATCAACCATTTCAATTATGGAACATATAAAATGGATGTTTTCTTATGGACAACTTTCGGTCCCAGATCAGATCAGACTTAAACAGAACAAATTATATCAGACTTGGATAATTATAAAATATACAAAGAACAAACATTTACTAGACCAGTTCAGACCAGACTAGCAAATTTTAGTCCAAAAGAAAACATCCTATAATAAGTAGTTTATTCAAAAAAAAATCAACAATTTCAATTGCTATCAGTGGCGGAACCAGGCCGGGGCGAGCCGGTGCCGGCGCCACCCCTTCGTCGGACGTTTCAAGGTAGTAGTTGGAGATATTTTCATCCCGCCCCTGTATCTCCCGTCATCTTCCTTATCATTTTGTTTCCAGATCTGGTGCCCTGGTGTTGCTACGTGTTAAAATGCCGACCAGTCATTTTAAAAGGCTTAGGATGTTTTTACTTGGACTGTAATTTGCTGGTCTAGTCTGATCTGGTCTGGTCTGGTCTGAACTGGTTTGGTCTGGTAAGGTCTGGTTTCTTTGTATTTTTATAACTATCCAAGTCTGGTCTGGTCTGAACTGGTCTGAACTGGTCTGAACTGGTCTGGTCTGAGACAAATTACAGTCCAAGTAAAAACATCCTTAGTTCAACGGCGACTTTTGGCAATGTTACTAAAGGGAAAAGAAACAACGTCGTATGCTTTAAAGTACGGAGTATCATAGCTCCGTATATTACTATTATTTATTATTATACTACATATTATAC